GCAAAAAGTTTCGCAAGGCGGTCCTCCGCCTGAAACAACCACTCTGCCAGCATAAATATGATGCTGCCATAGCTTGATGGTCTCCGACTTGGTGAGATCGCCTGTGTCAGGGTCGATGGCAATGTCGACCGACAGTATGTAAACCTCAAGCGAGGGAGTGGGCGCGAATGATTCCAGGTGATGCTGGATATCACCTTCGCGCCTGCGGCCAGAAAAAAGGTTGAGAATAAAGATCTCCTTGCGCCTGATGCGCGCTGGAATGTCATTAGTCGCTAGACCGGTGTAGTCTTGCGGTTGAAATGGCCATTCGGGCAGCGCAGGGAGAGGAGGAGGCTGCGGCGGAGGCACGTCGGCTGGAAAAAGCAGTGTAACGGCTGCTGGGTCTAGGGCGTAGTCGGTGACTGCCATTATGGCGCGGGCGTCCGCCTGCGATAGGTGCTTGGCAAAGTCTCGAAAGTGCTGGGTGGTAGCGCGCTTGGCACGATGTGCCGGCAATGCCACCCGCCAACGCCCTACTCCTGATTTCACTTGGAGCTTGGCATTTTCGCAACGCTGCATGGCCAGCGAGGCGATTTGCTCCTGAGGCAGGCGTTGAGAGTGACAAAGAAGGTAGAGAGCACAGATGAAGGAGTCAAAACAGAGATGTTGCATGAGACTGGCACGGGAGCCAAAAGGGAGGCTGCAGGCAGGGCAAACCGCGGTGTCGGGCACCAGGCCCTTGACCCGATGGGACAAGGTCCAGTGCATCTGGGCCACATGCTGCTTTAGCCCCCGAAATTTGAGAAATGTGCGTGGGCACCATGGGCAGGTGAGCACAGATGGGTAGTGTGCTGCCAGGCGTTGCTGCTCGATCGGATGCTGTACATGGTCCGTCGGCAGGGGGATCCCGCAGGGCACGGAGATGGCAAAGAAGTGCTTAGCGGCGGCCTCGGCGAGTGCTGCGCGTGCGAAGTGCTGGGCCCCCGCTGTAAGGGCATTGCGAATTCGACGCTTCCATCCGGTGTGGGATTGGAGGGCAAGGGCCTCCCATTGGTCCAGGTGAGAAGCTGGCGAGGGCATTTGCGCGAGATTGGCGGAAAAATCGCCCAGCCATTGTAAGTCCTTCTGTACCAAAGCGAGCCATGAGTCTGGGACGTCCGCGGCCAGCGTGGCAAGGAGGGAGATGAGGTGGGGAGGTCCCGTGCGGAGGAGGCGGCCAAAGAGGCGCAGCCGCATTGCACTAAATACCTGCGGTAGGGGGGGTCTGCAGACTTTGGCCAAAACAAAGGAGTCGCGCTCTGCTGTGCTGTCGCACCTTGGGAGGTGGAGCAAGCGCCTGCACATGCGCATGAACTCTCCCTGGAGGGTGACGATTTGCGGTCCAGTGAGCAACGGCCAGACTGCGGCATTGAAGAGGCGGGAGGAGAGGATAAGGGAGTCCAGTAAGTGCAGGTGCTCGTGCAGCCACGTACTGGAGGAGTGGCGCAAAAATTGACGAGCAAGATTGCGCCAGCTGGGGGCCGCCTCCGATCGCCTGTGGGCGAGCTCGGGGCCTATACTGCCCTTTTTCGTCCAAATGCGTGCCTAGGTATGTGTAGATCCTGGCGAAGTGAAGGGAGAATGGCTTATGCCCGAGGGCGGGTGAAACTAACATTTGCCCATTGAGCCCTTGGGGGTCCCAGAGCTTGCGGCGAAGGGATATGTAAGCTTCCCCTCTAAACTGAAAAAGGCACATAGTTTTGTTAACTTGAAAGTTGAGCTTGATACCGGAGAGTGCGTAGGCCTCGACTATGATGGCCATTAGCACGGGCATGGCGTCGAAAAGCTCTTTAGTGGGCCCGAGGAAGGCATAGGCACCATCGTCGGAAAAAACACGAGTCCAGGTAGTGGTGCACATCCGTATCGGAGGAGTCCAAGCTGTCCTTGTGGTGAGCGTAAAAAGATCGTGGAGCAGCTTTGTCCACCTGGACCTTGAGGATAAGATGGGCAAGCGGCGAGTCTGAGAGCTGTTTAACAGCTTCGTTATTAGCTCGGGCCATGAGGAAATTGAAAAGAACGTCCCCGAGCTGCTGCCCTGGAATGGTACCTCGGAGCGTGAGAGCTACCCCCGAGGCGCCAGGGTAAAAGGCCCAGGTGTGCTCGTATGCAACCGAGATTTGGGCATGGAGGTGCGAGGGGAGGCCAGCCTCCTGCAGTATGGGAGGGGCAGAGAGCAAATGTCGCATTAGCTCCTCGCCTGTCTCTTGGGGAAGGTCAAGGGAAGAAACAAGGTAATATAAGTCAGCTTGTTGCGAGTCGCAATAAAATATGAGCTGTCGGAGGGCCCTGTAAAAGGCTGAAACTGCATCTATAAATATGTACGCGGAGGAAGTACGCTGGCTGGTCGCATAGGCCTGGTGCGCTAGGACCGTGAGCGTGGCAAAGTCGGTGCCTCGCCCAGCAATGCCGCCAGACTGGGCGGCGCCTGCCACGGGAGGGAGATATTCTACCAGTTCTTTTCGCAGGAGGGCTCGATGCCGCTTGGAAAAGTGAGGGGACGCCATTACTGAGCGGGAGTTGGCCATGATGGCTGGGTTGCCTTTTCCTTTAAAAATGTCGAAATTATACCCTCCCCGCCAGGCCAGCGGTTCCTCAAGGCGCAACTGCGCCTTAAGGTGGACCGGGTAGTACTGCTTTGCTAGTAGGCGGTGAAACGACTTGACAAAGGCTCCTTTGAAGCCGTCTACGCTGGCTGCAGAGTCAGGGGTCCTGGCATAGGCGCGCTCAATTTGCGCAAGCGTAAAGAGTGAGTAGGGGGGGGAACATTCACAGTGAGGTCGGCGGGCAGATACGATGCACTAGCATCGTAGGCCTTGGCTTGTTTGAGCGGGATGACTGCACCGTGCTCTTGACGGGCAAAGTGGGAGAGCCAGGTGTCGGCGGCCTGAGTGGCGTCGACAACGAAGGTGCCCGCTGCTGTGGAGAGTATAGGTAGGGGTGAGGGAGAAAGGGGGGAAGGAGGAGGGAGGAGGAAGATGATGATGAGCATGGGAGGGTAAGCGATGAGGAAAAAATGAAGAAGGACGAGGGGGTGAACGAACAATTCCGACAATTCCCATGCACGACGGGCCTGGCCGTCTCGTAGTGGCGGTGGCTCCATGGCTCTCCCCGACGTCACGATGCGGAGGCGAGCGGGTGTGGGCGGGGTGAGAGGCGGGAACATCACGTAGTAGTCAGCAGTTGTTTGCGCACGCACATAAGCAAAGAAAGCAGTAGGAAAATCACGATGGAAAGTGTCTGGGCAATTTTCGGCCTTCCTGGGCCCCAATGCCGGCCCCATGCCCATCAAACAAAAACAAAAAAAAACGACTCGGGACGAGAGTCGATTCCCAGGAAGGGGTCCGGGCATCTGGTGAACCAGACATCTGATGGCCGGACATGCTGGCATTGCAAATGGATGGCCCCCGAACATGGCCAAGGGGGGCCAGGGCTGTCTAACAGCCCTAGGTAGGCATGATGCCCGCTGCGCCCAGACTGGTTCGAAGATGGGACAGGAAAGGCAGTCCCTAATCGCAAGATGGCTCGAAAGATTTGGGAACAAACCAAGATTGGTTCCGAGATGGCTCAAACGATTGGGGAAAGAACCCTCATCGCAGTCAGGATGACGAGGCGGGAGGTCGGCTAGATGGGGAGACTGGGGTGAGAGCACGGCCAGGTCTATTCTTTTATCGGGGATGGACAGACCCCCCTTTAGCAAAACGTGGTTTAGTGAACACGACCTGAGGCCCAAACCTGGCGGGCGCAAGCCTGGAAAATAGCGGCCACGGCGCCCTCTCGAGAACCGAAAACGGACAATTCACTGATCGACGTGTCACTGTTGGGGGCTCTGTCCACCCCCGAATGTCTATTTTTTTTTACCGAGGATCGTGGACGTGTTTTTTCGGTTTCGTGCGTGGTTTTTTCGCCAAATAATCAAGGATGCTCCTCGATGGTCCTCGCCGAGGGAAAAATGCACACGTCCGAGCGATGCCGAGATTCTTCTAACCGAGGATCGTGGACGTCCAGACCAAGCATGCAGCCCGGCACTGCAGCGAGAGCACGCCTCGCAACTACATGCCGAGGAGGCCTCGGGCGAAACGGCCACCGGACCGGGCGATCGAGGGCTCCCCGCCCCCCTGTGGGACTCTTCTGCGGCCCCGTTTTTACACCTATTTTTAACCCTGACGCGAAGCGCCATTAGGGTTATGTCGGGCGTGTACCCCCTATACAAGAGGATTTTTCGACGAAAAATGAAACATACCCCAAACATATCCCAAAAAGGTGAAACATACGAAACCACAAAAATAGTCCCCAGACTATGTTTGGACTCTCTTTTGGATATTGTGGGGGGCCTCCTTGAACTTTCCGTCGAAGATCCCCACGTAGGGGGACAGGCCCGACTTAACCTTGGGGCAACACGGCGAAGAACGTCTCGGAAGGCCCGGGAGGGGCCCGCGGAGCGCCTCGGTCCCGAGGGCGGGCCGCCCTCTCGCACGCGAGGCGCGCGAGGAGCGGAGCCCGACGCGCGGGGCCGCGCGGGGCCGCGCTCGCCCCGCGCGGCGGCGGACGGGCGCGCGCGCGCGCGCCGCGCACGCGGACGTGCGGCTTCGCGAGCGGCGGCCCCGCAGCGCCGGTGGTCACGAGAGGCGAGCGTGTCCATAATTATCCGCGCCCATCGTTCTTCGGGAGCGGCAAAGAGGGGGGTGTCCAAGAGGGGGGGGGTGCAAATCATGACCGGCGGCATGTGCGCGGCCCAGCGGGGGGGCCAGGGACGTAATGAATAAGAAGAGGCGCCATGAAATCTGGGGAAAAATCATGGCCCGCGCCATGAAATCCATCCCCCCCAGTCATCACCCCCCTCTTTTCCGCTCCCGAGTTCTTCTCTTCGCACTGCGGGACGGTGCGACGAGCGAACACCCTGCTTGCCCGGTGCCGCAGAAAGGCGCCCTCACCATATGACGTCGTGCCGAAGAGCTCCAGCAGGCCCGCTCCGTAGAGAGATCGCTTCGGAATGCTGACGGAAGGCCGCTCCGCCCGCCCCCCCGGAAAAAAATCTGGAAGGCTGACGCACCTGCCTGCTCGGAACAAGGGCCGCCCCTGACTGGGATGCTCGTATGCGTAGACGACCACGTCTCTCCGCGGCGCGATCCCGCGCGTACGCGACCGCACGACGACGTTCCGCGAGAGGCCTTCTGCGACAAAACACGCACCGCATCCGCGAGGGCGCGGCCCAAAGGGGGCCCAGGCGGCGAGGCCGTGGGCACGGATGCGAACGACGATCAAGAACGGATCTTATGCGAGACGACGTAGCGACCTTACGCGGTGGCTTACGCGGGCCGCCAGCGCGGCACGCTGCACTGGAGACAAGGGCGCTGACGCGCGACCTGACGCGGGCAGCTTGCGCGCCAATGTCGGCGAGGGCGACCCCGTTGTCATGTGTCGCTCATGTGTTTTTCGCCCACGGTGTGGTCAAGAAGCGGATGCCAGAAAGAACCTGGGCCAGCTTGCGATCCGCACCTGGGGATGTCTTCGGAAGGAGGCTGGGCCGGCTTCGCGCGCGCGTTGAACCCCGGGCTCTCGCCGCGGGGGCGAGGAAGCTGGGCCAGAGGAGCGAGTGTCCTCGCAGCGCGTGCCGGCGCCCGCGTGTGGCTGCCCGCGGCAGCCCGCCACTGCGACGCGGGCGAGGCTGTGAGGTCCGACGCAGGCTTGGGAACCCCCAAACCGGGTGGTGAGATACCAGGTGGCGACCTGGAATCCCCAAAAAGGTCACCGCTGGGTTTGGGGACGCGGGGTCACCACCGGGTTTTGTGACTCCTGGCCCCACCAGTGTTCGGGACATCCTCAGACAACCGCACGAGTCCCCAAACCGGGTGGTGACACCAAATCGCCCGAGACTCACCGCCAGGTGTTGTTACCACCACGTTTGGGGACTACCGACAGGCGGCGGGTGCCTGGTTGGACGTCCGGGGGACCACCAGAGTCCACCAGGGCCGCCGAAGGGCCGCTGGGGGGGGGCCAAGGCGAAGACGCGAGGCTGCCGTCGGCGGCACGCCCCCGGGGGGAAGGCGAGGGGGGGCAGGCCCTCTCAGACAGGCGGCGCGCGGGGGGCTGCTCAGAGCCCCGAGGCCTCCCGAGGAGCTGCCAGAGCCGTCGGGGAGGCTTCGGACACCTGCCCGAAGGTCCGAGCCCGTCTGAGCCTGCTGCCGGGGGCGCGCGAACATGGATTAGCGATCCCTGGATTTGGCGCGCGGTCGCCGAATCCATGGATCGGGGGAGGTGCCCTCCCCAAAGTGCGGCCGGTGCCGCCTCCTTCGGCGGCGGGAATCTGGGATTTCCGATGGAAGCGGCACCCGTCGCTAATCCACGACCCCTTGATCCATGTTTGCGATCGCATGGTTCTGAGAAGGCCCGCCCCCCTCCCCCTTCCCTCAGTAGCAAAGGAAAGTCCCCTCACCCTTGGGGAGGGAACTCGAGTTAGGAGAACCAAAAACGTCAGGGATACGGGGGGTCTTTCCCGCTGGCGTATCGAACCAAACCGCCCAGATCCATGACCCCCGATGCCGAGACGGGGCCCTCAGTGAGGCTACGTCTTCATCGTGGCAGTAGGGTTGGGGGTTCTCTTCGGCTGCACGCCAGAGTGACCCCGGGCAATTAAGAGTGACCATTGCTGCGCGGCTTCCTGCGGGCCGCGGGGGGACCAGGCACAGGCGCGCACGACGCCACACCATCGCAGCGCGCTCGGCGCTCGGGGGGGGCCCGAGGAGCCCGCAGAACAAAGGGCCACTCCGGCGAAGGGCCACACCCTCGCGCGTCCTCGCATCCACCTCTCCTCGAAGCTTCTCCCCCGAGCCTTCTCCCCCGAGCCCTCGCTTCTCCTCGAAGCCTTCTCCCCCGAAGCCTTCTCCCCCGAAGCCTTCTCCCCCGAAGCCTTCTCCCCCGAGCCTTCTCGGCCGAGCCCGCAGCGGCACAGGCGCGGCTGCCCGCCCGCGCCCGCAGGCCCGGCCGCCGCACCCCCCGCGGGCGGCGGCGCGAGAACACGCGCGCGCGGGGTCCGGCGCGGGCAGGCCCCGCGCCCTCGCGGACGGCGCCCGCGCGCCCGCCACCGCTCTCGGACGCCCGTTCCCCGTGCGTGGCTCGGCCTCGTGCGCTTCTCTGTTCGCAGGGCGCGGGGGGATCCAGGCGGGAACGGTCCGTCCGTCAGTGGGGCCGCGCCGCACGGCGCATCGGCTGAGCAGCACGGGGCTAATCTCAACAGTTCTGCTACATATGATATAAGCTCTGCCTGGTGCCCGCACTGGCGACAGAGGCAAGGTTCAAGCCGCCGGCCGAAAGTCGCTGGCTCGCACGAGGGACTTGCTGTCTACTTCCGCCCAGAGGGCGGTGCAGCTGGCACGTGGGAGCAGGCCGTCAAAGGCTGGCCCGGATGCTGAAGACATCCAACCGCCGGGCCGCATCTGAGGAGTCACCCTGCTCACGCACCGTCTGGTGCAAGGCTTACTTGACCTGACCTGACAGGATGATCCAACGAGGCCACCACGAGGCTGCAAGATTCCCCCAAGACGCTCTCCAGGAGGGCCTCGGCAAGCCCAAAAATGCGGGCGTCCTCCCACAGGTGGCTCCGTGCTTTTCACTCGCCACGCGCTCCGGGAAAGCCCAGGAGGGGCCCGCCGAGAGCCCCGAGAGGGCCCGGGGCCGCCACCGTGCGCCTGCGCGCCGACGGTCCTCGCCGCGCCAGCCAAGCTGCTCCTCGACGGTGCTCGCCGAGAGCAACCATCCACACGCCCGAGCGATGCCGAGCATGCGGCTGCTCCCGCCTCCGCGGCGGCCGGTGCTGGGCTGCACCGCTGCGCCCGCGCCCGGGCCTGGTCCTCCGCGCAGTGGCTGCAGCCGTCTGCCGGAGCCGCCGGCACGCGCGCGGTGCAGTCCGCGCGTGTGGTGGCAGGGGTGCAGGAGCCCATCGGACGCCCAAGGGGAGCTAAGGTCTACCCAAGGGTAGGCCGAAGAGTCAAGGATGCCAGGGTGCTCGTTTGGGAATGCCGCTCAGCCCCTGGCCAGCGCGTGAGCGACGGCGGCGCGTGTGCCCAGGCCTCGCCCTCCTGGCCGCGGGCCTGAGCCACCCACGCACGCGGGGTGCGGCAGCGGCACCCCTGGGACACGAAGGATGTCGTGATGCGATTGGCTCAGGATGCGCCCCGGGAGCTCCGGCGCACCTGGCGGCTCTCGCCTCTGCAGCCCGCGCGAGAGCACGAAGCAATCTTGGAACGCATCTCTGGCATGGCTTCTTGCTCCTCTGGACCTTGGCTCGTGCGTGAACCGCGGCGGAGCGCGTCTGGCCGGGGGGGGGGCCCACGCCCGGCGCCCGGGGCACCCTGGTGAGGCCTCCGCGCCACCGCCGCCCTGCTCCACGGCGCGCCCACAGCGCCCACGTGCGGCTCAACGCTGGCACCGCAGCGCAGCGCCGCTCCGCACCGCGGCATCTCCGAAGGCCTGGCCGAGGGCTGCAAGCTGCACGCAACCACAGCTTGCGTCAGCCCGGCACGGCCGATGAGGAGGTAGAGAGTCGACCACAAGAGGGACGTTCGAGGGTACCCCCCCAGGATGCACAAGAACAGCCAACAGGCACGACGAACACTAGGGTACCCTCCCCGAACCGACCTCGATCTTCGACCTCGGCCCGACCGTAGAGGCAAGGGAGGGCTAGTACGGAGAGGCAGTGAGAGGAGGAGACGCCGAGAGAGCAGCGCAGAACGGGGAGGGGCGATGGGGGAGGGGCGAGAGGGGGTGGGGCGAGCGGGGAGAAGGGCCGAGGGGGAGAGGGGGGAGGAGGTGGAGGGGGCGTCAGGGAGGGGGAGGAGGGGGGGAAGGAGAAGGGGCTAGGAGGAGGAGGAGGAGGAGGAGAAGAAGAAGAAGAAGGAGAAGAAAATTAATAATATGAATAATAATATTCCGACGGATAATAAGATTATTAAGACTAATAAGAAGGATAATAAGAATAATACTAATGCTGATAATAATAATAAGAAGAAGAAGAATAAGAAGAATACGACTACTAATAAGAAGATGATGAAGAAGATGAGTGATAATAAGAAGAATAATAATAAGAATAATAAGAATAATACGATGACTAATAAGAATAATAAGGAATAATAATCAGAAGAAGAAGAAGAAGAGGAGGAAGAAGAAGAAGAAGAAGGACCTGTGACCGCCTACGCGCGCGCCAGGCGCCGAGGCATATCCCCACCCTCTCAGTCGCCCTCCTCCGAGTCGGAGAAGAGCGCCCCGAGCTCGGCCGCCTCCGCCTCCTCGGCGCAGAAGGCATCTCGACACCGCCGCCGTGCCTGTGCAGTCCACCCGCATCATGAGCATGCGCGGTGAGGACGCAGGGGCCGTGGAGGCCCACACGAGCGTTCTTCCAACGAGGTTGGCCAGCGGAAGTCGCCAAGGATGGGCCGAAGGGGCGAGGATGCGAGGGGATCCTTGGGAAGGTTGCCCGTCCTTAGTGTGTGGGTGGTCCGTACCTCGCCACCGCTCGATCCTCCATTCCCCGTGCGTGCTTTTCTGATGCCGTGCGTCTGCATTTCCGCGAGAGGATCCGAGAGGCTCCTCGAGGGCCCTCGCCGAGGAAGAGAACGCGTGCGCTCTTTTGCTGTCCTGCGCTTATGATTCGCGAGAGGATCCGAGATGCTCCACGAGGGCCCTCGCCGAGGAAGGAAAACGCACGCGTCCGAGCGATGCCAGAAGTCTACAGGGCCGTCCTGGGCCCTGTGGGACGGTGCACACCACGCACTCCTGGCCGCGGCCGGGAGGGTGTGTGTGTGTATATATATATATATATATATGTATGTGTGTGTGCACATATATATATATATATATATACAGGCTGGTCCTGGACAGGCACGGTGGTGGTGTCTGGGTGCCCCTTCTGCGGATTCGGTGGTAGCTCATGGGAGCCTCCCATACCATCTTGTCGGCTCTTGCGAATCGGCGCTGATCGACGCTAGATCGACGCTAAATCGACGCTAACTCGACGCTCGCCGACGCTCATCGACGCTAACTTGGCGCTAAAGCATCGATTACCAGACGCTCTTCGACGCGAATGCGCTCTCGGCGCGGAATGACGAGGGCACACGAGGCTCCCATGAAGCCGAATGCGGATCCTCCTCGAGGGCCACCCCCGCCAGCGCGAAGCGCACGCGGTCCTCCCAGAGCCGCAGCGACAGCTCCGCCACGAAGGGCTGCGCGAAGGCCTCCGCGGAGCACCCGCGCAGCGCCTGGAAGCAGGGCGCCCACGGCCGCGAGGGGCCCGCACCCGAGCGCGTGTCCTGGGGCAGCCGAGAGGGGACATGCTGCGACGCCGCGGGGCGTGCTCCAGCTTGCTTGCTCTTTCGAGCCTCATCCCCCCCCCCCCTCCCCCTCCCCCTCCTCCTCCGCCTCTTCCTCCGCCTCCTCCTCCTCCTCCTCCTCCTCCTCCTCGTCTTCCTTCTCCTCCTCCTCCTCCTCCTCCTCCTCCTCCTCCTCCTCCTCCTCCTCCTCCTCCTCCTCCTCCCCCGCCCCCTCCATCGCATACCTATCCTCCCTCTCCTCCTCCCCTCTTCCTCCTCCTCCTCCTCCTTCTCCTCCTCCTCCATTCCTATTCCATATAAATGATTTCTCCCTGCCGCACCCCGAAGCAAGTTTTCAAGGCGGGCCGGGCGTTTCGCCTGAAACTTCCTCACCATGTATGACTCTGAAGCTGAGAAGATGACAGCGGCTTCACGAATTGAGGACGGGCCATTTTCAAAATGTGGCTTTCGCCTTGGCGCAGCGCACATTCGCTGTAAAACTTTGCAAGGGCTTCACGGATTGAGGGCGGGTCATTTTCAAAATGTAGCTCTCGCCTTGGCGCAGCGCACATTCGCTTGAACATTGTGCAAGGGCTTCACGGATTGAGGGCGGGCCATTTTCAAAATGTAGCTCTCGTCTTGGCGCAGCGCACATTCGTTTCATCTTCGATATGTGGCTCTCGCCTTAGCGCGGCGCACATTCGTTTTCAGACTTTGCAAGAGCTTCACGGATTGCGGGCGGGTCGTGTTCAAAATGTGGCTCTCGCTTTAGCGCGGCGCACATTCGTTTCAAAATTCTGCAAGGGCTTCACAGATTGAGGGCGGCTCCTTTTCCAAATGTGACTCTGGACTGGGCGCAGCGCTAAATGCGTCTTAACGGTTTGCAGGATTTTCACGGATTGAGGGCGGTTCTTTTTCAATATGTGGCGCTCGCCTTAGCGCTGCGCACATTCGTTTACTACAGTTTCAAGAGTTTCACAAATTCCCATCATCAACGTGCCAGGAATGGCGTTTTCAAAAGAATCCATATTCTGCGGGTTCAACAGTTCTGTTGATTCTCTGCGCTGAAAGCCCAAGAATGGCATTCTGGCACGATACAGGATTGTCAAGACGCAACAGTCAAGTTCACTCATGGCATTGGAATCCCGAAAACAATGCCTTGGCATGCTTCAGGGTCTTCAAACGGCTGTCTTCCAAAGAGGCAGTTCCTTCAATGGAAATGAACTGGCGTAGGGGCCTATGAAGAAGGAGCTTGGAGGGAGGGTTCACTCCAACATCGTTGATGGCTCTTGGGTTTACACTGGTCCTCCTCCTCCTCCCTTTCCTCCTCCTCCTCCTCCTCCTCCTCCATCTCATGCCTCTCCTCCCTCTCATCCTCCCCTCTTCCTCCTTCTCCTGCTCCTGCTTCTCCTCCTCCTCCTCCTCCTCCTCCTCCTCCTCCTCCTCCTCCTCCCTCCCCTTCCTCCTCCTTCTCCTCCGGGCGGAAATGCCATGAAAGGAAACATGCCAGAATGTACACACAAGCGGCCGCTCGTGCAAGAAAACACGCCGAGCTTGCAAGAACACGCGCTCTCTATAGAGGCCTCCCAGATGGGGTCCGAGTTGATGGGCTCGGAGGATTGCGCCGCATCGCCGATGTATTGGCGACTTCGGCGACGCAGCCGATGGCGCCGTCGGGGTGGAGAAAAACGGGCTCCGCATCGAGCCCCGTGGCGGCGCCTCCGACACCGCCCCTGGCGCGCTCCGCGCGCCAGGGAGAGGGTCCAGCGCGGATCCGATGAATCCGCGCGGACCGCCGAGTTTCTATGATCATGTCATTGTTCGTTCCCCTACAGTCGGACCTAGGCCAGAAGAACATCCTTCAAGAACACGAGACCCTCCGCAGGCAAAAACAGCCCTAAGTTCATTCGAGGAGACCCTCCCCCAGGATGCACAACAAACATTCAACAATCACGGAGGTCACGAGGGTACACTCCCCGAACTGACCTCAATCTCAGACCTCGGTCCGACTGTATGTCATTGTTCGCTCCCCTGCCTAGAGATCCGATGTCGTGTTTTTTTTCCCATGCGGTGTCCCCCGCAATCTCGACCTATTCCCCAGGACCATTTCTTCAGCCTGAGTCGTTTTTTGACGGCCCTGGGGCCCGGCGAGGGCCCCTGGAGGACGAAACCTGCGACAAGCCTGCGCCTCGATTCTTGTCCACGCCTTGGACCTCTCTGGGTCTCCAGACTGACTGCCTACCAGACCACCCCAACCCAACCCGAAGACCCGGATTTCGGGCTGGGGGGGGGGGGGTAAGGGTTCCACATGTGTTTGTTCGACGTTTCCCGACCCCCCCACAGTGGAAATGGGGGGCAGATTGAGGCTTTCGGGTTGGGCTGGGGTGGTCTGGTGGGTGGTGACAGACGACGGCACGCTGCCCTGCTGTCCAGCTCCGGCGGCCCCTCGAGGCGGAACCAGAAGGCCACGAAGAGCGCCTCGCCGGCGAGCTCGGCGCTGGGCGCGCCGGGGCCGCGGAGGCGCACGGCGGCCTCCAGCGGCAGGGCCGCGCCGAGCAGCTCCGCCAGGGCGCAGACGCGCGCCACCGCGGGCTCGGTCAGCCAGCGGGGGTCCGCGGCAGCCTCGGCGCCCTCCTCGCCGGAGCGCCCAGAGACCCAACGCATCGACGAAGCTCAAGACGGCAGTCTTTCGCAGTTTTCGGCCTCCAGGGGGCCCTCGCCGAGCCCCAGGACCGTCAAAAAACGACCCAGGCAGGAAAACGGGTCCCGGCGAATGGGTCGAGATTTCTGGGGACCACGTATTGAAAAAAACACGACATCGGATCTCTGGGTATGCGTAGGTATTACCCTGAGATCCTGGCGTTGCATTCTTTTTTCGAGCCGGGCGTGTTCGCCGGTTTTCGGGCCCCGGGGCCCTCACAGATCGAACCGACTCGGATAATGACGCAGAAAAATCGGGTCTAGGTTTCTGGGCGCGATTTTCTACGATGATATAATTGTTTTGCTACGTCCGATCTCAGGGTGATGTGCGAGAGTGACATTTATCAAAACAGGTTCCTCCCTAGACGCGCCCAGTATCATTGACCAGTGTTCCTATACTAGCGCCTAGGAACGCCTGTCTGCGACCACTGGTCTGAATTGGGCCGGATAAGGAACACATGTGGGACCAGGTTTGGACCGCATTCGCCCCCTCACAGAGGAAACGAGAAGAGCGAGGAGGGAGAAGAGCACCAGGAAGGGCGAGGAGAAGCAGGAGGAAGAACCAAATGCGGTCCACATGCGGTCCAAATGCAGGAAACGCTGATGTCACTGTCGCCTCCCAAGGCTCCCATGGACGGACATCGAGTCCTCGTCAATAGGTTCTCGGACGGAAAGTGTCCCAAATTGATCGCGTCGGGGCGCCTTCCAGCATCTGCGCCGCGTCGAGAGCGTTCCAGGGGTGCCCGGATCGTCCCGATCGGCCGCCAGAGGCCAGAGTCACGGCCCGAAGCCCACATCACCTTCTCGCCATCGCTCGGACGTCCATTCCCTGTGTTTTTGTCGATTTCGTGCGTGGTTTTTTCGCCAGATGATCAAGGATGCTCCTCGATGGTCCTCGCCGAGAAAAAAATGCACACGTCCGAACGATGCCATGCCCTGCGTCGCGAACACATCGCGACGGACCATGTTTGGCTGTGCCTCGGCCTCCGGTGGCCCTCGCTGGGCCCCGAGGCCGCGCAAAGGCAGCCTGGGACGAAGAACCGGTCCCGAGGGGGAGGGGCTCCTCCTCCTCCTCATGCTCCTCCTCCTCCTCCTCCTCCTCCTCCCCCTCCTCCTCCTCCTCCTCCTCCTCCTCCTCCTCCTCCTCCTTCTCCTCCTCCTCCTCCTCCTCCTCCTCTGTCGGGATCCTGGAAACGACAGGGCAGTTTTTTTACCGGTTCCGACGCCGTTTTTTTACCGGTTCCGTCGCCGTTTTTTGACCAGTTCCGGCTCCGGTTCCAATCCTGGAGCCGTTTTTGTTGCCGTTTCCACTTTCAAAGGACATTTTTTGGGAAACGGTGAAAAAACGGCCCTGCCGTTTCCGGGGCCCACAAAGTGCAGACCTCTTTCGGGGTTCACCAAAAGGGGGTGACCCTGAGGGGGGGCGTGAAGAAGTCGGTCCGCTGGTGCACCGAACTGCCGTAGACAAATGCCCCCCGCATGCCGCCCCACCAATCGGGAACTATTGAGAGCTGCCGGCGGCTGGGGGGCATCTGTTTTGGGCGGTTCGGTGCAAAAACCGATCGAACTCACACGCCCCCCCGGGGCACACACACCCTTTGCGGGATCCCGACTTTGGGGGGGGCTTGCAATGAAGAGATCATGACGTCGGCGGTCTGGGGTATGGGTCGCCAAGCGTGGCGTGTGGCGTTGCAATGCTCCTCCGAGAGGTGCATCGCCTCGACGATGGGGGCTGCATCCTTGGAGGACAGAGAACCGGCACGCACATGAGTAGACATTTGGATGCCCGCGCCGACTTCTTCTCGGATCGGCGCAGGACCCTTCTCCCGGGCGCGCGGAGCGCGTCCGCGGCGGCGCCAGAGGCGCCGCCAGGGGGGCCCCAGCGCCGCTCCGAGACATCTGCGCGGAGAGCTCCGAGCATGCATTCTCTTTCACAGCTGTGTTCTAGAGCTCGGACCTCTTCATTTTCGGTCGTCGTCGTCGTCGTTCGTTCGTTCGCTCGTCGTTCGTCCTCCCCCCCCTCCCCTGCCACAGAAGGAAACTCCTGGAGGAAGGAGGCGAAAGCCTCCTGTCCTTCGCAGCTCCTTGGTGCAAGAGCCAGGGCACGCGTGCCACTTGTTCATGTGTATGGATGTGTTTGCTTGTGTGCTGTTTCTGTCTGTCCTGCTCATTCCGCCAGCGCACTTACTCTGCGTAGCCGCGGACGCGAAAGCGTATGGATCTGTTTCTTCCTCGAGATCCAATCCACTCTCCCTCTGGGACCGCGCCCCCTGCTCCAGTCCATGGCGTACCTTGTCCTGTGCAAGCTCTTCGGCACCGCCTGTATTCTGAGCCCTCCGGCCGCCTGAGGCCCCGCCCGCCCGCACCCTGTCTCCCCAATTAGGGCTACTCGCGTCCCGTTTAGCTCTTGACCGGAAGGGGCCCGCTCCCGACCCGCACGGCCTGGACGAGGAGGAGGAGGAAGAGGAAGAGAGGAGGAGGAGGAGGAGGAGGAGGAGGAGGAGGAAAACGAACGAACGAACGACTCTGCAGAAGGGTGCCAGATGATCCTGCAGCAACGCGGGGAACTCCGAAGCCATAATTAATGTAAGCTCCGAACTGACTCGCTTCTAGAGGGCGCTGTGACTCAATATAATCCGGTCACGCGTGGCACTAGGTGCACTCTGCTCCCGCCCACCTTACCCCACCTCGGCTGGAGGGCCCGAAGCTTTAAAGGCAGGGCACGGCCGTGGGGTCGTGGGTCGAAAATCGGGATTAAATCAGACAGATCCTCGCCTCGCGAATTTGGATTTAAAGTCAACTACGACTCAGGCTGGCTCCGAGCGGCCCCAAGGGGGCCGCGGGAAACATTCCAAGCTAAAAAGTTACGGCCCTGGGGGTGGGCCTTCGCGCTTTCTGAGCCCTAGAAGACCCGAGACTCTGGTGAGAGGGATCGGAGGAGGAGGAGGAGGAGGAGGAGGAGTCTGAAGGTCGGGAGAGGCGGCAGCGACGAGGAGATTATTCGGCCTAATCGAAGTCATCGGACCAGGTGTAGCCGAACTCACTGAAGACGGGGCCGAGGGAGGAGGTCGAGTAGCTCTCTGGGAACGCGGAGATCGTGATCTCCTCGCCGTCGGAGCCGCCATCAGCGATGTAGTCGAGATCAGGGAACGAGAAGGGGTGGCCATCAACGGCGTGGTCAAAGTCGCCAACCGTCCAGTCGATAGCCTCTGTGATGCATGCCCCTCGGCTGCGTCGGACCCGCTAGGTCGGTACCCTCTGCTCTCCCGCGTCGGCTCGGAGAGTGAGCAGTGCGTGCCTGCGGGCCCTTCCTGCTCGGACCTGCTAGGTCGGTACCCTCTGCCTCCGAGCTGCGGCTCGGGAGGTGAGCAGTGCGTGCCTGCAGGCCCTTCTCCTCTCGCTGCCTCCAGCAGCCTGGCCACTACTGTGCGTCGAGGTGAATCTGCAACAGCCTGGCGTTGTGGCTGCGTGGAGGCGTCCCGTGTTTGTGAACCCCACCGAGCTGCACCAGAGCCGCCACGACCGTGTCCTCTATGCCCGTCGCTTTGGCCTCGATCCAGATCTTGACTTTGTCCTGCGCGTGGGTCGTCTGCAGCCGGCAGTGCCGAACCTGGTCGGCCAGCTCGCCGTTGGAAATGGGTGCCGCTTTCATGCGATCCTGGTACTCCTTGATCTGCCTCGCGTTGGCCTGGCCCACCTTGTCGCCCTGTCCCACGAGAGCGCCCACCAGCGCGACCCACACGTGTGGATGAGGGATCCCCAACGCCTCGAGCTCGGGGACGGGGTCGCCGTTCCTGAGGGCGGCCTGGTTCGCCTCGCGAAGGCGCTTGGCCTCCTGCCCGTAGTGCCGCGCCGTGGGCATCATCGACTGGGGCACGTCGTGGTTGGCAGGAAGCTGGACGTGACGGTAGATGGCCGACTCGAGGGCGTTGATCGCCTGCTCGCGCCTGAGGGACATGCGCATCAGGATGGGCATCATCTGCTGCACCTGCTCGATCGGGATGGGCGGAAGGTTCCTGACGTCGTCCTCTCGCAGCCCGTAGTGGTTGTCGGTAGCGCCCCACACGTCGATCTGCTGCTGCGGGGGCTGACCTGCCCCTGGAGCCGCGGCCGCGGGGCCAGCTCCGCGCTGCGGCGGAGGGGCTCCCCGAGCGCCTCGGCCTCGGCGGTCTCCACTCCGAGTCCGATCGCCTCGCCCACCTTCGAGATCGCGTCGCCTCTGCTCTGTCCCAGTGGCGAGAGCCCGCTCCGCCAGGCTCGACATCCAGCACAAGATCGAGGGCGGGCGGCGCGTGGGCTTCTCGGATGTGTGCCTGAAGTGCCTGCAACGTCTGAAACGGCTCTTGAGCCAGTGTGGCCTCGGCCAGTCCCTCCCTGAAAGCCTCGTGAGCAGACTCTGGATCCACGCAGATCGGACAGTGGAGGTCGTCGGGCACAACCAGGGGGGGTGAATACGCACTGAAATCTGTGAGGCAGCGGCGACGGCGAAGTGACTGAACCACGTGCCTCTTGGCCAGCACCACCGACGAGAAGGTAGAGGAGCAGTAGCAGCACTGGTTGGTCACCACAAGCTGGTGCATCGGGACCCTGATCTTGTGCGACGGGTGGTGGCACTGATGCGCTCTCAAGGCCGCTCTGGAGTAGAAGACGTGCCCACAGGGGTCCCCGTTCTCGCCTGGGAGGTCACAGTAGCATTCTTGAGGAGGGGCTTCAGGGACTGGTGGGACCTCTGGTGGAACCCCGTGCTGAGGAGGAGGCCGAAGGGGTCCTTGATGTTCCTGTTCCCAATAGGCCTTCCGAAAACCCTTGAGACTCACGCTTCTGAAGTGGCACGCGACACGGTAGTTCGTGAAGATGTCCCGAATCGAATAGCCTCTCGCCAGGAACTGGTGCACAGGGGGGATGACCGAGAGGAGCTTGATATCCTGCTGGAGCTGGAGGGCCCACGGATTTGCGCCAGACCGAATCCAACCGTCGGGGGTGAACGTCGGAGACTCGCCCAGCGAAGAAAAGTGCCCGAAGAGCGCCGCAACGACCTGAACCGAATCGGCGGGGTACACCGCAAGGCGCTGCCAGTAGCCGAGGCGCCTGATCAAGAGCTCAGTCCTCGAGTCAGCGATGCGCAACCACTTGTGCATGACTCTCGCCGAAGGTGTCCGAATCCTATCTCCCTCTGGCCCTACTCTCTTGGCAACGCCCCTCATCGCCACCTTCGCGAATCCCAAGATCACCGAGTCTAGCTTGGCATAGTCCTTCTTACCTAGGATATAGACCTCGGGGCCCGAGTAGGCCGCGCTGTGGATAATTCCCAAGAAAGCCACCCTCTTAAGCTTCAAAGACGAGTGCTGGTTCCAGAACCTCCCGAGCATGGTCCAGGCAGAGCGCGCAGCGTCAACACGTAGTTTAACTTCAGCCCCCGAACCGCCCGTCAGATGTTCAAGCCCTCCGAGGTAGACGGTTTCAGCCCGAGTTTGCCCTGGGAACTGGACGAGTCCTGAGAGCACGGCCCTCGTGGCCGTGTATCCTCCTGGGCCCACAAATACTGGGAGGATGATCTCCTTGTCAACATTCTGAGTGAACCCTCCTATCTCCTCGAGCTGATCTGACAAGATACGAGACGACAATTTTGCCCTCTCCGCTGCGTGGACGGGGTTGCCATTCGGCAGCGGCAGGGTCTGCGACACGTCATCGGCGTAGTCGCGCATGGAAATGTCAATCTGCTCAGAGTGGATGGGCGAGTCAATCAGCGTCGCCGCCTCCATCATCGGCACGGAGCCGCCGCTCGCTGCATCTAAGGTGGCCTGGGTGCCCTGCAAGAGGATCTGGTTCCACGCCTCCAGCGGCTTGACGAACGACCGCGCGAACAGCTCGCGCGCGTTGCCGTCGCCCATGCCCGAGCCGTGGGAGGGTTGGAAGAAGCCCTTCTCTTCGCCTGCCTCAACCTCGATGACCGCCTCACGATGCCTCTGCTGCAAGAAGAGTTGGTCCTGCATGTCGGGAATCACTTCCCCAATCGCCTGCTCCAGCATGCCGTGATCTGTCGAAGGGAACGCGTTGCTCATGTCTTTTTTGACCTGCAAGTGGGGGACGAGCTTCTTTCGTAATCTCCAAGAGTGAAGTTTAGCAACCAACTGCGCGTTCTGCCTCGACCTGTGCGCTGCATATCCATGTGCGCGCAATGGAAGTCGCGGGCGCTCATGTCGAACAAAAATGCCTCTGCACCAAGCCTTGCCGAACGGGCAGTAGCAGTGTATGAGTCTCATCGCCTTGGTGCCTCTCTTGTCATTGCCCTTGCTCAACTGGAACGTTTTGGACCAGTGCCACTGGTAGGGAGTGCGACACGTATTCCGAATCTGCCTCATAATCTCAAAGATGCGCTCAGCCAGTCGTGGACAAGGGACCTGAACTCGCTGCCGTCGCTCGAGAGGGTCTTCGTCAGCTGGTTCGCCTCGCGCTTCTCGAGTAGCAGCCCTCATCGCCATGAGCCACACCTCGCTGGGGGCGGAGTGCGGGGGGGAGTACCTGCGCCTGGCCGCCTTCTCAAGACACTGCAGCGTGTTCGTCCAGTCGTCGTGGGCGGCCGATCCAGGTCGCCCTCGCAGATCCTTCCACTCCCCATCTGGGTCATCAATCTTTCTCGAGGCCAAAGCCTCGCTGCGAGGAATGCCTGGTCCGCGTAGGCGAACAGCAGCTGCCCTGCGCTTAACCGAGATGGAAAGATTTCTTCGCGCGGTTTGAC